GCACTACCACTTAAACCAACATCACCCTCTACTTGTTTAAACACAAAAATGCTCTCTGGTTTATGTTTCTCGGTTGAATACTCCCAAACATTTCTAATACTACTTTATTATTAAGATCTACTGATGATAATTTACATCTCCAGATGAAATAAAAAGTTGGTAAAAGTCCCAAATGTACAAGGACAGATGATCAAACATGTGAACTGGCAGAAATTCATATGAAATCAACCTTACTTGGACTTTTTCATTTAAATGCTAATTCACTTGGTTAATAAATATACTCTGAATAGCAAATATAGGAAGAGAGCACAGTCTACAAAATTCTCAACAATATATATCATTCACCTAACAATAATTATTGTATACCTCTTCTACATCAGGGGCTAGGGGATCAACAATGAACAAAACAGTCTCTGTTGCAGCAACATGGATGAATTTAGAGAAAATTATGTTAAGTGAAATAAACCAGGCATAGAAAGAGAAATACCACATGTCCTTGCTCATAAGTGGGAGTTAAAAAAATGAAAAAGAAAAAAAGATACAATCACAATCATTGGTTGAACTTTCAAAAGGAGAGAACAGAACTGAGGCCACCAGTGGGAAAGGGGGAGGGAGAGGGGAGGTTAACAAGAAATTGGTAAAGGGCCACGAAAACAGATTACAGTGTATAATGTTGAATATACTGATTACCCTGATTTGAGCATCACATATTGCACATAGGTATTGATAGTCAACACTGTATGTACTCCACAGATATGTACAATCTATCATGTTTCAATAAATAAGAACAAATAAAAAACAGTCTCTGGTTCTGATGAAGTTCACATTCTAGTGAGGAGGAATAATCAAGTAAAGAAAAAAACTGCAAATTTCAGATGGTGATCTGTGCTACTGAGAAAAATGACAAATAGGACACCTAGGAACTTCTTAAATGATGACAGGGTTACTGGGAAACAAAAAAGATACATTAATCTCAGACTTCATAAAGGAAGGAGGCAATGCATTTGGGTGGCAGGAATAAGAATAGAGGCCAAAGAGAAGGGTAAAAATGTTAGGCAGAGAAAAGAAAAGAAAGGAACAAGGGCTGGAAGAAGAGAGGACAGGAGAGACAGGGATGCGTAGCAAACAAGGGTCTATTGTGTCTACCACTCAGTGGCCCCTTCCCAAAATCAAGCAGGCATATTTGTTTTGTTTTGTTTGTTTGTTTTTGGGTCCATGGGCTTAATTTATCAGGTCAAATCATATTAGAAATTACCACACTATTTGACACAAGATAAATAGATATTTTAAAACCAGAATTAACAGTTAACTAGAACCACTTTTCTTAAAATAGTAAAGGAGGAAAGGGTATTCATAAAAAACAATTATCTCTTCCTACAGGACAAAATCATATGAGAAGTTTCTATTAAGATATTACTCAAGGCTCAGAGTAAGATCCTCGAAGAATACTTTTTTTTTTTTTTTTAACAAAACCACTGCCTAAAGTACTCACTTAAGTGAGCTATTTAACTCGGCTGTATAAACATAGCAATTAAAATAGTCATCTTTCAGCAAACTGGTGTGAAAATAAGGAAAACACTTTAGTATAACACAAGCAAACAGAGAAGAGCTCACAAAAGTTGCTGTCCATTTACCGTGGCCTCCCTTCAGTCTCTGCCGAGCCAGAGTATGAAATTATAAAGATGAAGCCGAAAGCCTACGTTGGCCCTTTCTTCCCTGCCTACATCTTCCACCAAACCTCTTATATATTTTAGGACTGCCTGCTGTTCAAAGTCTCCATCTCCATTTTGACGTGCCAGAAAAGCAAGCAACCTTGCTACCTACAGGACTAGGAAGAAACACTCAAAGACCATTCAGACTAAAGCCTCCCTTGCCTCGTCTCTTACACCCTTGGTCTAAGTCCATTACTCAAGAGATAACACCCTCGAATTCTTGACTCATCTTCTCCCTCAAAAACTGAAACTCCCTTCTCAACTTCTCCATTATCATTCTCAAACTCAGCTATGTAAGAAGAGACCAAAACCATGACTTTTTTCTCACTGTAGTCTCACTCTCTCCCGCCACCTGACATAATCAGTTACTAAGTCACATGTTATTTAGTGTGAATGAGGTTCACACGCACCTCTTCTGTCTTACTTCCAAATTCTGACCAATGATTTAGCACTTACACAGGTTCTAACCCCGGAACCATCTTTATAAGAAATGAAGATGAAGCAAAGTTAACTAGCTGGAGAGAAGATAAAGAAAACAGCATTTATTGAGTTCCTACTATATACCCGGCACTGTGCTGGTCTAGGAGGTATTACTATCTCCATTGTGTAAATGGGGATAGTTTGAATGGTATACTTGAAATTTCTCAAATATACCCATTCCTTTCCAGTCTATCCGTTCAAACTTTTATCATTTCACATGCACAGTGACATTGACTGCCTCAATAAATATTTGTTGCTAACAACCATCCCAGGACTCTCCACCAACATAAGTACAGAGAGCCCTGGAAGCAACAGATTTTAAGACAGAGGTATTGAATATACACATGCATGTGAAAATGTTAAAGGCAAGGGGCCGGCCCATGGCTCACTTGGAGAGTGTGGTGCTGATAACACCAAGGCCAGGGGTTTAGATCCCTATATAGGGATGGCCAGTTAGCTCACTTGGGAGAGCATGGTGCTGACAACATCAAGTCAGGGGTTAAGATCCCCTTACTGGTCATCTTTAAAAAAAAAAAAAAAAAGTTAAAGGCAGCTCAAACGCCTTCAAGATAAAGTGGAATCTCTCTAAGACATTTCACAATTCTGACTCCACCCAAACCAGCCCTCTTTTCTTTAGGGAGTAGGGGCACTGCAATTAGAATGCCTGGGTTCTAACCCCAGTTCCTCCACTTCTAGCTACTTAACCTCCTCTATAAAAGCTCAACTTGGATTCTGCTCAAGTTCTCCCATCCTCCCTGACTTCAAGTCCACGCCATTCCACAAGGTCAGCTGAAGGCCCATTTCCCTTGCAAACTTATTGGATGACCTCTGCCCATCCCTCCACTTACTTGATTTACAATAGCTTTACAGCAAAAAGAGTCTGAATCACTCATTTTAACTTTCATCTGTAATACTCCATTACCTTGCCTCATTTAATTAGTCCATGTGTATGCCCCACCCCACCAATGTCCTACCCATGAATGACAATACTCACTGCTTCAGGTGGCACAATATTAATATCAACAATTATTACTACCACCATTTACTGAATACATAATAAGTGCCAGACACTGTGTTAAATATCTTCTAACTAGTAACTAATAAGTTATGTATTTTTCTTTCCTTTAGCTTTCTTAATCCTTTTCAGGTAAATCTCTTTCTCCTCATTTCTCAAAGCCAAAAAAAAAAAAAAAACCAGTGATGACGGGGGTGTAGAGTGAGAGGGAGTGATTCAAATTCAGCTCTACCTCCAAAGCTCATTCTGTTTAGTACTTACTTTGGTCATTCCATATCTAGGTGTTAAATTTTCTCTGCTAGAGATGGCGGGTTAGCTCAGTTGGTTAGAGCTGGTGCTGATAACACCAAGGCCCAGGGTTCATCCCTGTACCAATCAGCCACCAAAAATAAATAAATAAATAAATCTTCTCTGCTAAATGTGAGCTGTTAATAACAAAAACTGCAGTTTTTTGGTCACTCCCAGAATAATCCATTCCTAATAAGTGATCCACACTCAAACTTGTATATAAACTAACTCTTTTAATGTTTCCAACAACTCTACAAGATAGTAACAATTATTACTGCCAATTTACAAATGAGGAAACAGGAAGAAAGAGATTAAATAACTTGCCCCAAGTCACGCAGCTGATAAGTGCTGAATTTGAGGGAGAAATGGTAACTGTGATGAATTACTTCATTTAATGACTCATTCTCAATTTTTATTAAGCACTCTTCTAGGGGCTGGGGATACGGCAGCGAATAAACTAGAAAACATCCCTGCTGTCACGGTGCAGACCATCTTATTTCTTTCGCAGTATTTTCACCCAAGGACACAATGCTAAATCCTTTTAAATACCCTAAGACTTCCATACAAAAATATCATATTTGGATAATAAAAATTAGTAACAAAGAAACAGCATAGGACTTGAAGCCAGAAAACCTGGGTTAAATTCCCAACTTTGCCATTTGTTAGCAGTGTGACTCTGGGCAAATCCCTTTACCTGACTCTCCACTTCATAACCTATAAAAAGATTATATGGGAGATAAGTTGCGCACCTAACACAATGCAGACACGACATACGCTCAATCAACCTTTCCCTCTCTCTTCTCTTTCCCCCCTCCTCCCGCCCCCACCAATTCAGTGACTTCATAATTTGTGTCGTTATGGAACACATGTTAAAAGAGCACGCGGAATTACATTAAGGACTGAAAAGTGACCATCTGCTTACTTTGCAGGGCAATTCTCACTCCAGATCATCATCACTGTGTCTCCAATTTCAAGCCCCCGTCTACTGATTCAGATAAATCAAGTGGCAAGTCGGGAATGACAGCAATTGACATCAGGGCCTGACAGTGTCTATAACATGCTCCCGACGACCTTCTCCAGAAAGCACTTTGTTTCAGCTGGGGAGTAACGTGGCCTCCTGACGAGGTCCCACGACCCACGACGGGAGATGTGGCACCAGGGAGGAGAATTCAGAGGCTCTGGCACGAGGGTGTGCCCTGCAAATGTTTTCCTTTCCAAGAGCTCTGCAAGTCCCCTACCACCTGCCAACCCTACGACCACCTCCTCGGGGCTGCAACTCCCCCCTTTCTACTCCGGGCGGCCACCCAGGCTCCTCCGGCACGCGTCCCCAGCCGCCCCAGCGACCTCCAGCCGGGGCTCGGGCGGCTCGCCCCGACCTGAGGGGCCGGAACAGGCCCGGCGGCCTGACCTCCCGCGGGGCTTCCCTTCCGCCCTCCTGGCCAGCGGAGCCTGGAGCTGGCTGCTCGGCTCCGGGCCGGGCCTGCCAGGGACGAGAAGCCCCTTACCTATCTTCACGACCGCATCCGCCAAGCACCGGTCCCACTTCCTGCCGAGCTCGGACTCCGACATGTTCCCCACCGCAGCGCCAGCTTTCCTTTCGGCCGGCCCAGGCGCCCCGACTCCTGGCAAATCTCGCGAGAGCCGGCCGCGGTTCCCAGGCCCGGAAGGCCGGCGCCGGCACTGCAGATATCGCGAGATGATCCGATCGCTTCCGTCTCTGCCAGTTTTTTCAATTGTTCGTCATGGTGACGGGTCTCCTGGAGGCCCGAGGTGACCCTGACCTTGGAGCTGAGCCTAAGAGTTGCGAGCCTGACAGTTTCTGAGGCGGCTTCCAGAGCCCTGTCGAGAAGGCCTTGCCTCCGCACCGACTCCCGACACTGGCCCTTGATTTATTCAGTCATTCACTTGATTCATTCATTCATTCACTTTCTCACCTGCACTTTTTCTACTCACCCACTCATTCACCCGTTTATTGGAATTCGCGACCGCACCACTAATACAGAAACTGCTCTGTCAAAGGCCACCTGCTGCCAAATCAAAGGAACGCTTTTTGACCTCTATCAGCACTGGGCACAATTGTCCCTCCCTCCTGATCCTCCTCGTCTCTTACTTCTCTATTCACTTGACTCCCATGATATCACTCTTTCCTAGTTCTCCTTCTCTGACTCTTTTGGTTTCCTCCAGGGCTGCTTTTTCTCTGCCGGCTGTTTTGGTTGCAAAGATCCATCAATTCTGTTTTCACTCTACATATTCTCCCTGAGTAGTTGCAACCGCTGCCAAATTATATCTTCCGGTTCAAATGTCCACCCCAAGCTTTCTATTCATATACCAATATGTATATACATACACTTGTCCCTCAGTATCCGCGGGGGATACCAAAATCTGTAGATGCTCAAGTCCTTAAGTAAAATGGTGTATTTACGTATAACCTAAGCACATTCTCCTGTACACTTGTCATCTCTAGATGTACTTACAATATCTAATACAATGGAAATGCTAGTTGTTACGCTGTATTTTTATTTGTGTTATTTTCTATTGTTGTATTGCTATTTTTTATTTATTTATTTTTTTCTGAATATACTTTCTATCCTGGTTAGTTAAATCTGCGGATGCAGAACCCATGGATATAGAGGCCTGACTGTTACATACGTATTCAGCTTCTTTCTTAGTGTCATTGATTTTAGTCCTTCCTGGTTTCCATCCTCCATCCTACCGAAAAACATAAATTTGGCCATGTTATTCCTCTGATTAGAAGCTGTCAGTGACTCCCATTCATCTATTAGATATACCCAAGTTTCAATGCTGCACTTACTCTAGGAAGCTAACCCTAATAGAGCTTAGAGCCCCCACACCTTCTTCTCATTGTCCCCGTAGAATTTTCTATGTAGTACTGAAACACTTGATTATATGTTATCTGCGGTAGAACTAGAAGTTCCTTAAGGTCCTGAGCTGCCCCTTCTTCTGCACACTTCCAGTTCAGAGCACAGTGCATTGAGTGGTAGAATCTATGAAATATGTGTTGAACTGAATTGAACTCATTCACCAATTTATTTATTCCTGGCAACTTTAACACCAGAACTGTGCTGTACCAGATCCTGCTAAGAGTGTCTCTTTCGTCAAGAAGGCTTCTTCTCTGGCCACCCTTATCCAAGTTTTCATCTGAGCTAGTTTTCAGATTGTATTGTCATTACTTGTGTGTCTCTTGGATTTGACTGTGAGCAAACTGAGAATGGGGATTGTCCCCAATGTTTAGCAAAGAGCCCAGTATACACTGAATTCTCAATAAGTGCTTATTGAATGGATATAAAAATGAATGAATATATTAATGAATGATTTAATTCATCAGAAAGAGAAAAAAGGCCCTGTTCCGGGAAAACTGCTGTGCCATTTATGTTGAAAAAGAAAAAAAAATTAACTTCACTAAATACGCATGATGTGTCACACATAGCACCAAGCACCTCGCATAATTTCACTTCTCCTCACAGCAGGTGGAGATTAGTATCTCATTTTCACAGATTTGGGAATTGAATCTCAGAGAAGTTAAATAATATGGAAGATGCACAAAGCTCTGCCTTGTGTAGATTAAGAAACTGACAAAGGCATTTTTATTGGATTCAAGAAAGTTGTAAACTTTTGTAGAAGGTAGAGAGCAAATTACAAACCAATCAGAGGCAGATGGTATATAGCATGAATTCTGGAGCCAGGCTGTCTGGGTTCAGATCCCAGCTTTGCCATTTCCTAGCTTCGTATCTATTATTCTCCCTTTCCACCATTCCTTCCCCAATAGAATGTTTTGTTCACTGCTGTATCCCCAGGCCTAGAACATTATCTGTCACATCACACAGTGTTTGCTTGATAAATATTTGTTAGTTGAATGAATAAAATGAAACCTCCAGAATTTTTATAGTTCTTGGAACACAAAAATCAAAGCAAGTGAGAAATATTTCTTTTTCAGTTTTTTGGTTTTCTTTTATTATTTTTATTTATACATACTTCTGAGGTACAGAGTTGACTATCAGTATTTGTGTACAGTATGTGATGATCAAATCAATATTATGAGCATGTTCATTATTACAAATCATTACTTTTTATGTTCCTTACCCAATTACTCCCTATCCCCTCTCCCCCTCCTGGAAAAAAAATTTTTTTTTTTTTTGTCTTTTTCCGTGTCCGGCAACGGATCGCAACCCTCAGTGCCGCCCCCGTACCGGACCGGGACCGGCAACGGGATCGCAACCCTCGGCGCTGCTCCCACGCCTCGCTCAGCCAGTGAGCGGGAACCGGTCTGTATGTGGGATCCGAACCCTCGGCGGGAGCGCCACCGCGCTTCCCAAGCAGCGCACTATAGCAGTGCGCCACCCGGCCGGCCCAAAAAATTTTTTTTAAACAGCAATATACTCATAAACTTAGTTACATTCAGGATGATTAAAAATAGGTTTCTCAGCGCTGGAGTTACAAACATGGAAAGGGGGAAAGCTTGAAAGAGCTCCATGCGGTAGGAATTGTGTCAGTATGACTTCATGGTATTTAATATAATAATAGAGATAGATACAAAAATAGATATAGATGCACATGCATGTTTCTGTATGTGTGTGTGTGTATCAATGTCCTGATCCTGTCTGCTGAGAACCTAAAAGCAATAATACACCAGTAGCATTACCCAAGCCTAGATCTCGACTTCTAAATTTACTCTACAAAAAGGACCAGAGCTCTTCAGAAAAATGACTGAGAATCCAGGGCTGGAGCAGGGAAAATACAAGATGAACCTGGAATATCTTCTTATGTCACAAAGTAAAGAAATCCTCAAAGGATGACAGTGACATGTCAAAATGTTTTAATAACTACAAGCTGCCAAAAATGTTCCTGGGCTCCTAAACGGCACTCTGCTTAAGTCATTACTGCTATCGTTAGCATTTCTCTCAATTGTCTGGAACAAGTTTCGTAAAGATAGAACTTTGCATTTCAGGATAAAGACGGGCTCTTGGAATAGTAAGAGAGCCACATTCTTTTTAGACTGGATTGAAGAAAAATGAAAAAGTGAAAACTGTCACTAAGTAGACTAGGTTTTAGCCTCAACTGGCTAATCAACTAAACATAAGCGCTTTGTTTAGTTTACTAGGTTGTAAATTCAGCTTCATTAACAACACAAATTAGAATGTTTTATAGCACAGCACCTGCATAAATAAAAGTCTTTCAGATGCCAGTGATTTTCTTCAGTTTCCCTTTAGTTAAAAACTCATTCTTTTCTTACAGGGAGATTCAGGATTTTTTCTTATCTTCCGTCTCCAAGAGGGGTCGGATACCATTTTGCCCCTTTAGGAATGTGTCCAGAGTCAAATGGCTACTATGTGGCTGCTTTATTTAGTTCCAAAACCCAGGGGCCCCCTCCCCCCTTTTTTATATGTGTGTATGTGCGAAATATAACAAGCACACAGACAAGTGCTAAAAACCTAAATACAGCCTAAGAAATTGTTGTAAAATGAACATTAGTAGCCCTTACGAGCCCCCTCCCCTATGTGTCTTCCACCAGATCATACCTGCTCCCTCCCTGCCAGCGCAACCACTCTCTTAACTTTTATGTCAGTCATTTCCTTGATTTTCTTTAAGTGTTCCTACCTGGCTAAACATCCTTAAACAATGTGGTTTAATTTTGCCTGGTGTTGAACTTTATGAAATTGGAATCATCCAGTCTGGCTTCTATGATATTTGGCTTCTTTTGTTCATTATTATGCTTTAAAGATTCTTCCACGTTGTCGTGTGTAACTACATTCTGTTTCGCAGGTATGTAGTATTCCATTATATTCTGTCTATAATTTATTTATGCTACTGTGCAAGGATATTTGAGTTGTTTCCAATTTGGGACTATTGCCAACAAGGCTTCTCATTCTTTTACATGTGTCCTGATGCACACTGGCATACATTTTTATAGGCTATATAACTAAAGAGGGCAATAGGGTATGCATATCTTCAGTTTCACTTGTGATATGGACTGTGCCCAGCAAGTTTTATGTATTAGTAGTTTGATCCCCACTTTGACTGTTAAGAGAGTGGGAAATCCTATTATAGTAGTTGAAAGGTGGGGCCTTGAAGAGATGATTAGATTCTGAGGACTTTGCCTCGTGAATGGATTCATAATGGTAGTTATGGGTGTGGTTCTGGGGGCTTTAAAAGGAGAGCAGTGAGACTCTCCCTCTGCTCTGCCATTTTCTGCCTTGTGAGACCCCTGGGTCACTTTTGCCACCACCAAGGCCTTTACCAAATATGTTCCCTGGACCTTGGACTTCCCAGCCTCTGAAACTGTAAGCAATAAATTTCATTTTCTTTGCAAATTACCTAGTTCCAGGAATTTTGTTATAAGCAACAGAAACTAATACAGAAAGTTGGTACCAGAGAAGTGGAGTGTTGCTTATAACAGACACATGAAAATATGGAGATGGCTTTAGAACTGGGTGTTAAGGAGAGGCTGGAGAAATTTGGAGGAACAGTCTAGAAAAAGCCTAGATGCTGGTGGGAGTTCAGAAGACAAGAAAACCAGGGAAGGTTTAAAATGTTTTAGAGAGCGGTTAAATGGTGGTGAGCAGAGTGTTTATGGAAATAAGTACTATACAGACCATTCTAAGGAGGTC